AAAAAAAAGAAGTGAAATTGTTGGTTTTGAATCTGAGTGAGCAAGTTGGTTGGTTAAAAAATAAAATAGTAAGATAGAATGCTAAAATCAAGAGGCAGTGATAAAGATATAGATACAACATATTTTTAAATGTAATCATCTCAATGTAATTCATTTCTCAACCTTTGCAACAAGAATTGTCTTTAATCCTCCCGAGTTTGCTTGCCAAGTTTTTTTTTTTTGACAAAACTTGATTGGATTGGCTAATCCAATCAAAATACACACACACACAGACACACACCGGTGCACTCACCACTTAACATAGAGCAGCACAGCGAGAGGAACGAGGTCCTCCTCGGTAAAGCCTGTGTAGTCCTTCAGCAGGGTGGGCCAGACGGGACCTGCAGAGCAGCAGGCAAGTCAAGTTAAGTTGAGCAGAAACGTCACTCTTGCATTATATGCTTGTGTTAAAGAGAGGGTGTTATTACCATAGTGATGCAGTGCCCTTGTGAGGAGCAGTGCAGCGCAGGCCAGCTTGGCGGGAGGCGGCGTGGTGAGAGCAGAGTACAGCAGCGACAGCTCGCAGACATAGCTGAAGAGGTGAGAGGAGCGCCTCTCCAGGGGGAGCAGGAACAGCAGCACCTCCCCGTAGTCCAGCAGCGTGGGGCTCTGATGGGGGAGAGAAGGACATTTAATTACTACCTCTACAATAGAATACTAATCTAAAGAGCAGCAGCAGTTAGACAGTCAGCAACACTCACCCTTATCTTTCCCTCCAGCACAGACACAACCTCCCCCATCATTCGCACCAGGTCTTCATATTTGTAGGTGTTATCTGTCAGCCAAACGGCCTCGCGTATAGTCAGGATTTCTTTGCTAATATATCTAAAAGTAAATATAAACATGTTCAGTTTGGCAGGATTATGAGCCAAACTACAATGTCCCTTGTAATTTTGGAGAAAAAAACAAAACAATACAATAAAACACTTTGAAGTGTGAAGCCCCTCACCGTGTACAAACCACCATGCAGGCAATTCCTAAAAGCTGAAGGCGGGCCTTTGGGACAGAACGCAGGGCCAGGTATCGGTCAACACAGCCCACAGTCACATGCAGCGTCTGGCTGGAGAAATCCTTCATAGTGGCCACCTCCACGAGCCAGTCCACCAGAATGTACCTGCAGCCACAGGAAAACAAGGAAGTAATTATTTCTTATGCTCCATTCGATGACATATCTATTCATTTTTTTTATTATTTCAGCTGTATGGAAAGAACACAAAACCTATAAAGTATTTCCGTTCCTTCAATTACCACATTTTGCCAACCACAAATTTCACTGTTGCTATGATTTAGTGCTATAGATCAACACAAAACAGTGGATCCCCTTCACTCCTGTACCCTTATATAGGAGGGGTATAGGTCCCCTAAAATAACCAACAAGATGCACATGATGTCTCTGGAGGAGCTGCAGAGATAGAATGGTTAAGATCAAACCAAATTCATGTGCTAAAATGGCCTAGTCAAAGCCCTGACCTAAAGAAAGTCATGCATCTATGGCCAGACTTAAACTGATATTCACTGAAGGCCTCCATCCAGTCAGAGAGAGGTTGAGGTATTATGTTCAGGGAAATGGGTAAGAATTCAGTCTCTGTATCCCTGGTGTCAAACCTTCAGATGAGACTTCATAATTACGCACTGCTTAGTGTTGTTCCATCACATAAAATCCAAAACACACATTAAAGCTGGCTGTTATAAAGTGACTAAAAAAAAAAAAATTAAAAAAAAAACATGACGAATCTTTTAGTGGTTTTGTGCATTTTTGGCAAATTGGACAGGTGCCACCGAGAATCTGCTATTGGCAAAAATGTAAACAAGAATTTTAACCTCCATCATACGAGGTCAAGTGAAATTCTTGTCTCCTCGTACCTCATGGTGTCCTTGATGCCTCGTCTGAGGACACCCTGAGTGCTGTGTTGATGCACCGAGTTGGAGGGACTGAAGATCTGCGCCACAATCTCCGAGCAGGCCTTGGACTCCAAACCCAATGGATTCCCACTGCTGCACACTTTAGCCAGAGACAACTGAGAGGAACAAAGGAGACCAAACGTTAAAACGTGTTTCAGAACAGCTTTAGAGATCTTGACAGCTTGTTGAACTGTGCTGCACCATGATGACAATCTGGCTTGAGTTTACTGGTGTAATAAGAGTGATTTGGATGAGTCATATCATTATGATTCACTGGGATGAATTGGGGATGGGGGGGGGGACTAAATCCTGTCAGCATCTGTCAGGCCCTCTTTGACACAGTATGATAAATGTTTCAACAGGAATTTTCAAAATGGAGGAGCCAAAACAAAAGAGAGACTGAATGGTGTCAAAGGAAACTTTTGAGGAGCAAAGGGAAAACAAAACCGACAGTGACACAACAAACCACGATGCATTTAAAGGCCTTTGATCACCTGTGCTTCCCAGCATCCTTTGCCGGCGTAGTCCCTGAGGGTTCGCACACATTGAAGATACCTTCCAGGGTCGGACATCTGAATTAAAAAGGAAAAGAAAAACAAAACAAAAAAAAACAAAAAAAGATAGAAAAAAAACACGTTTAGCCTCATTTATCCCTTTATGTAGTTTAAAAAGCTTCCTTGAAAGCCAATGCCTTAAAAGTATTACTAACCAAAGACTTTTGCACATTTTGTCATATTCAAATTTAAATATATTTCACTGGCATTTAGTAAAAACAACCTTACTATGAGTTTATGTAACACGCAGCTCATAGGTTTTTCTTCCACCTGAGCTGTGGACCTCTGCAGGCCCTCCAGAGCTACACTACGGTGGTCTGAATACTTTTGCAAGGGCAGTGTAAATCTAGCAGTCGCTCCAGGGTTCTACTGAAGACAGAACCAAACTCACAGCTGCTTTCCTGCTGTGCTCCCACAGCAAGTATGAACTCTGCAGACAGCCAGCCCGCGACGACTCCTCCAGCATGGCTACGGCATCCGATCGCTTCTCTTCCTCCTGGAAAAACAGGCAGCACAGATCCAGATGTTCACGGCACGTATTTGGAGAGGAGCGCTTTGTTCTCGCGCTCCTGAGAAAGCGGCTGAATAACGGCGCCTGACACATATTGTTTCTGGCTAACACAAAGTCTCCTGATGTGTCATGCTGTCAAACAACGGAGCCCACTTGGGGGCTTTGAGTAACAGTTGCATAAAGAGAAGAAAGGCAGCCGTTTGGCCTGCGTTCCTGGTTGACTTGTGACAAGGGCAGGCGCATTTACATTTTGTTAAGAGAATAACAAAAAAAAGAAAGAAAGAAAATATCTGAGATGCTTACTCACTTCAAACAGGAGCAAAACTCGGGCCAAGCAGTGCAACAAAGGGCCCCTCTTTTCCTGCGGAGAAATGGGGGGAAAAAATATCTATATCAATCTGTGTGCGTTTACTGCATCACCCAAACGCCAGCTTTCACACTCGTTTCCTCTGAACTGCCAGCAGCGGAACTTACCATGTTGCTTTCACACTCAGCCTTTAGGTGATCGAACACCACGGCCTTGCAGCAGCTGCCAGTGGGCGACCACGGAGGACGGATGAAAACCCAAGTGAAGGGATCCGCTTTGGGAGAGAGCAGGCTCTCCGCCAAGCTGAAGAAGTGGGAGGCTTTTCGGCCACATACATCCGCTCGCCCTTCATCGCTCAACAAAGCTGGAGGGGAGAGATGGTAAGAGTGAAGAGCTGCAATCATTTCGTCAAGAGGACTTGCGCCTATCGTTGACGTCCATTCAACTAACATGATGTTTTAAGCAGACATTTAAAGTGTAGGAGGGAAAAACTGCTGTACTTACGTCCCTCATTGTACAAATAGGCAATCCCAAGTTTCACAGCAGCTTCAAAGTTCCCTTTCTCAGCAGCCCTGGAATCAGTGAATAATTTTAGCTAAAAATCCATCCGGAGAGCAATTATAATTATTCTTTTTTTTATCCAGAAGAAGGATCTGTACCTTTCAAACAGCCATAAAACGTTAGGAGATGGCCATGTGTCTCTGAAACTGACTCTGGCCCATACACTGTTGTGGCTGTCAACAATATCCCGCAGCTGTGAATGAACCTACAACACATACCAAAGGATTTTAGACCCCATCAACAACAAGAGACGTCAAATATGGGTCACGAGTTGTTCAACTTACCGCTCTGACAGACAGGAGGTCCTCTGCAGAGAGACACTGGAGCACATAGAGAAGAATTTCCTCCGGTAGCGATAGAAGAGTTAGGGTGGACAATCGCTTACGAACCCGCTTCCGAGACGGAACCGAGTAGCATTTTGAACAACGGCAGTGGACAACTAGAATGAAGAAAGTTATGCAAAAAAAAAAAAAAAAAAAAAAAACTTTTAATGACCGTTTTTTTCCCCCATCCAAGACCAGGCAAACAGATCCATTTACTTCACAACGTGAACAAGCACTTCACATCTTAGTGCAAATTTGGCACACAAATTCTCACTCTAATGGCAAGCCAATATTTACACTTCATTTAAAGCAGTCTGCAGCCTGCTAGCAAACTGTGAACAGACATTCTAAATGAACAGTGCAACAAGCGTTCTTTACAAATCTAATGACAACTGATCTGAAATAAATCTGGATTTATGCACTGAGTACTCCAAAGTTACATTTCTTGTCATTTGGTGATGTACAAGTAAAGTGAATTAATAACAATTAAAAAAAAAACATGAGCGACATATTATACTGCTTTTCCTTTTGTAGCTAGAACTCTCATCTTATTCAATGAACAAAATAAATACGAATTGGTGCCAATACCTCAATATAATAGAATTACTTTTTACATAAGGTTATCAGACAGGGAGCATATAGTAGTTCATGTCTACTATGGGCATAATGTTTAAAAAGAACAGTGGTGAAGTGTTATAAGTACACTTTAGAGATATACTACCAAGTACACATTGGAAGTAAATGTCACTTTTGAACATCTAAGAGAGAAAAAGCACACTTTTCACTTGACATGACAGTTGTATTGTATTAGGATATTCAAAATTGGGTGAAATTATACTGAAAAAGTGTCTTCAGTTGAAAATATAAATAAAATATATGGTTGAAGGTTGTTTTTTTTAACATAGCAATTAATCCTACTTTTGCAGTATAATAAAAATATTAATATCCTGTAACTTTACAGTGAAAGTCACCCTACTAAATTGTTCCCGAGTAAGTCACCCCCAGGGGGACCATTAAGGTAACCTAAAACACATGCAAAACTACTTAAACTTTTTAAAATAAAAGTACAAATGTTGATTTAATCATTACCTGAAACAAAACGTCTTTCTTAAGTTTATTTTCTGCATTTAGGACCAATCTAACGAAGGGGAACTAAGCTGCTGTATGGGAGAAGGCAAATCAAGTGAGCGCCCAAATTTCCCTCCCGTCGTCCAGTAAAGTTGGATTATCACTTAGTTTCACAAAGTTTAAACTCCGAATCTAGTTTGCAGCAGCTACTACAATAAGAAAATAACATTTCTAAAAGGGGCATGGGATTGTTTCTTTTAAACATTTATATTTTGACCTGAAGTTACTGCAAAGTCCAGAAGTAATCGATCACTATTTCAAGTAAGATATGAGCATGCAACCAGTGAATTCTCGGAAGCTAAGACGATTAAATACCATCTTTAAACAGTTATTTTGTGAGTTATTATCTGTTGTTGTTAAGTAAGACAACTGAAAATAAGAATAATTACTTACCGCCCGCTTTCATTGCAAGTAGACTGGTCTCTTCTTAGCAGGATGTAGATGCAAGACTAAGCAGATGTTTAAACGTTACGATTGTAGAAGCTAATATTATTTAGACGTAAACCAGGGATATGATTATTTCTACATAGATTAATACTTATCAAACGTTACAGCTAATGTGAAGCTGCTGTAGCTGACTAATATCTAAACAAGTTACTAGCAGCTTTCCTGAATTCAAATTCAAGCACGCGTCCTGGTTTGGACCCGCCCCTAAAGCGCCCTAGGACCGCCCGCGCACACGGTTTAAACGCTGCGTTCAGTTTGATTGGAGGAGAATGATGACGCCTCTACGCAACGACGCGACATGCTGATTGGTCACATTGAAGAACGATAGCACCGATTGGTTATACAATATAAATTGTAAAATTCTAGAAATTCATTGGACAGGAGAACGCCATTTCGAAGTACGCGCTCACGTGTGTGAATATCTGATTGGTTGACCTGAATATGACAAACTTCCACATTCTTGTGGAGTACTTTGGGAAATGTAGTTGAATTGAATAACAGTGTTTAAAGGTACCGTAATTAAAGGGACATGCACCTACATATTACTATTTGTCAGTATCGGAGGAAATCGCATTGAACCTGTTCTTGTGCCTCATTTGTAGTTTAATTTGACTGTTTTTATTGACTTTCATAAGAAAAAGACAAATAATTAAGATCAGAATGCAAATATAAAAGACGTGGGATTGCTATGTATCCTGTGATCACTAAAAACCTTTTTATATACAGCTACAATTGGACAATACAGACAATATACAATAGTGTAAAAAAAAATTGCCCCTTTACAGATTAAGTCTTTCTTGGGGTTAATGATTCTGTTTATTACCAGAAAAGTCTCAAAAACAATGTGCTTATTGTGAAAAAGTAACTGCCACTTAAACCAATTTTTTTTTTTTTTTGAACTCCAGAATTTTGACCCACTCCTCTTTCTCTTTGCAAATTGGTTTTAATTAAATCAGGCACATTGGATATACTTTTGGTATGAATAGCTACAATAACCACATCTCAACCAAACTTAAGCACAGACTTTGACTAGTTCACTCCAAAACCTTAATCTTGTGTTGTGATTTATGATGTGCCAAAGCTACAATCTATAGCTTCCCAAGCTGACAAGCTAAATGTCATCTGAAAAAAAAGTTTAATTTAAGATTTGATCAATTCATGTAACTTCTTTCTAGTAGCTGCCATTTCCAAAAAATAAAACATAAATAAAAAAGTGCTGTTCTGCAAGCATTAATGCATCTATGTACACTTGTTCAATACGTAATACTGGTGTAATTCAAAATTTTTACCCATACCTTATTTGTGGAATAATTCATTTCAATTTCTTCAGGTGGATTACTTATACACCTAATTGTTGTTGATAAAAATCTTTATGCTTGCATGATGTATTTATCAGTCCAACCTGTAAGAAGAATGGTTCAAATGCATCTCCTTTAACCCCAAATCAAAATGACATTCGTGTTCATGACGAGTGTGTAATCTTCTGACCGGTCCTGAGATTGAATCGGGTAACAGACTGATTAGGTTTTTGAAGCAGCTGTCATTGAGGGACTGATATAATTAAGATCTTTGTGTTGCAACCCTTCTTTCTCAGCTGAGTAGTGCCCTGTTGATTGCTGGTCTTTTAAAAAGGGTCACGGAGAAGCAGAGTGCCCTGATAATAATCATTTGTCCCTCTCAGGCTCTCCATTGCGCTGCACATCACATGCGCAACCAATCCCGTCATCACAAACAAAACTCAACAGAATGGTAAAAGCAATCACTTGGAAAGTTAGAAACAATTTTCCAAGTGTATGCCAATGGAAAGTAGGGGCAGCACATTTCCTATTTATCCTTAGCTCACTGGGGAATTTAACTTCCTTGACTTCACACTGGAGGTACAGAGTGATCAAATTATCCGACTAGATTGCAGGAGTGACCTCAGTCAGGCTAAGGGCTCTGATATCCTCAACTAAATGCACTGTTTCCATAGAAACGCCAACCCATCTCAAGCACTTTCTCAGAAAAATCATAGGTTGAATGGTAATGGCATTTAAATCAATTATTTTAAGAAATAAAACAACATAATTTGTAAAGCACCACACACAAAGATGTGTCATAAAAATGGAATGATACTCTGACCATAATCATTGTATTTGAAATAGATGAAGAAATTTGTTAAAGAATGAAATGTTCTTCTTGGACATTAAAAATAATCAAAGATCCAAACTGAGTTTGCCTGACGGTGCTTGTCAGTTATTACCCAGTCTCATTAAATCTAATATGTCTCATCACATTTGGATAACAATAACTAGGTTGAGATGGTGTTTTAACATAATTTCCCTATGATTCAGTTTGACTGTCTGGTCTTGTGTGTCTAATCTCCATCTACACCTGGCACCAAAACAGCTGTCGTCATATCTGAGCCAAGTCACAACTGAAATGTAACTCTATCCCCTCTACGAAGGTATCATTTGGAGCCGGCTTCAGGCAGTGACTAATTAGATACAGATTTGTCTTTTCCACAGATGCTGTTGATTTGGAATTTGAATGAAGCATAAATAAAGCCATCAGGCTCCAGATGGCTCCAATCCAGATTTAATACTGTCATACTGAGCTGCCTGTTGTATCTCTATGCCTCTCTCTTTAAGGTAATGTCAGTTTTGTATAATTGAAAGGTTTGAGAGAGGTCAAATAGTGTTGAATGTTCTGGTTGGAGGCCAAGTCCTGTAGATACAGAGGCGGATGTGTTGCTCCCAAGTGGTTTCCTGTGATCTGTGTTGACAGTCGAAATCCAAATGACCACTTCCACCCGCGTCTGCACTTTGACCTGTTTGGCCGCTCCACCCAGTAGAACGATCTAAACATTGGGTCCCTTCCACAACTGCATCGTTTTCCCACATGTTATCAGCAAATATTAAAATTTGCTGGCCATCCTTTAAAGGCACAAAACAAATTTGAATCTTGTCGAAGGCTACAAAAAGTGTAAGGTCAACTCAACGAGAGACCTCTGACTAAGTATTAGTGTGGGTGTAAGTGTATTGAGTTTGTGTCCATAAATCAGATCCTGAAATTTCCTTAAGAAAAATCCAAACCTTTGCAAAAAGAGACTGATTTTAAAAATCCTTGCAGTTACATCCTGGAGATAGTGTGGTTTACATGCATCATACTATGTTACAACACTCACAGCCATGGTGATGTTAACTTCTGACTGTGTATGATTGCTGTTCATTTATATTAGCAGCAGTTACAATATATCTGAGGGTGACCTGCCAGTAGGGGGAGCTATTTATTCTGCCTGACACTGGCCAGTCTGATTTCCTACCAAATGACTGCATATTTCTGCCGTTAATCCAGTTCGACAAAGGCAGTACATGACAAAAGGTCTGCTTAACACAGATATTACAGCTATGTGTGAAGTTGAGGTGGGTTCTGCAAAAACGTTTTTATACTTTAGGAAACAACTGTAATTTGTAATATGTCCACACTGTTTTTAGCCCCACCCGGTTTGTTCACAAAGAAACAATTTTATCAATCAAGAAATACAAAACATGTTTTCTTCAAGACACAAAGCATAAACATTTATTTAATGCAATAGAAACAGAAAGAGAACATTAACATAAAGATAGAAATACATAATACAATTAATAAAAAAAAATTCTATATACAGCACCAAAAATTGGAGGGCACAGTAAGCAACATATTTAGTGAAGTAAACAACAGCAAACAGACTGACAGCTTAGCTGTCTACTAGGAGAGGGGCACTAGTCCCTGCAGCAGAAAGAGGTAGACTTTCTCTTTAAAAATTCAGAAGGCAGAGGAGAAATCACTTCATGTCTCAGACAAAAATAATAATAAAATCTGGTCAACGCCCACCAACTTGTACTGGCACAATATAGCTTAAAAATGTAAATTTAGGTATATCTATCCGAACAAAATATAGTCAGTGTGTGCTGTACATGTAAAAACTGCAATGATATACAAGCCAAGGCAAAAATATAAGACTGTGTACCTCAGTTGTTTCTATTTTTTGCAAGCACTACATTCCCCAAGACAATTACCCATCAAAAATTTCACTCTTTCTTTCTGCTCCTCTAAGTCAACAGCTTTAAAAAAATCAACATATATAAGGCAGGAGGTTTCCAGATCATATGTTTAGTATTTACTTTAATTTAAACACTGAGTATTTATGTATAAAAGACAACAAAGGATCTCCAAATGATGTTTTTTCTAAGGGCCTCCATAAAGTGAGCAGATGTAAAAGTAGCTCACACACAAAATGCAGAGGAAGGCATCTTGTTAGGTTGTCCAATGTAATGTCATTTCAGAGCTTCTGCTTTGTCTCTGAGCTTAAAGGACACCACTGATCTGAGCACAAATGTAAAAAAACAAAATCAAACTGACATATGAAGTGAAGGAAATTAATGGTTACTGTAAGAATATTTTTGGAAATTGTTAAATCTCATCTCGCGGCAGCGAGAGTAGATTCAGAGATGAGCTGCTACGCTCCTGTACAGCAGAAATCATCACTGTAACCTCCAGTGGTGCAACATATCTCCTTGTTAAATGATTACATTCTTTTCAGGATGACTGATCCTAATCTAGCCGCAGGCATTCCTCTCTGTTCCCACATACATTTAGAAAGCAGTGACTTCCAAGACCCTGCTGCTCATTACCACTATTGTTCAACCCTCAGTTGCTGCTGTTTAAACAACCAAGAGTGTGGCTAACATCAGCACAAAACACAAAGCAATGAGCTCCAAACCATTAGAACAGGCAGTTCCCGAAAGCAGACAGGAAGGCAAGAGCCATTTTACAATTAGTAAGCTGAAGCTTGAGATGGTCTGTGGCTTTGTAAGCTAACTGCTCAACGTGCATGTATAGCCACGCTCTCCCCGGCAAGCGTCTCTGAACTCCAAGCCAGGATCAATGCGGTTTTGATCAATAAAAGTTCTTAGAGATCCTGCAGAGCCAGTTGAGTCATTCATGTGGAGACAAGTAGAGCATATTCCCTTCACTCTATCTATGTGTACATTACACACATTCCTTCTCTGATTTCATGTTTTGTTTCAGCTCACATAACATTCAGTCACGACAAGGAGTGTTTAAGACACCAACAAAATAGCCTTGTGCATCACACGCATTCACTGAATGCCCCTATTCACAAGCAGTCCATCTCTGAAGGAAAACGTGTGGGAAAGGGAAACCCCAGAGATGATCAGAACCAAAACATTACTCAGTGCTCAATAGTGAGCAGCTTTGTACTCTACTCTGACAAACTTACTGCCCGTCAACTATGGGGGAGACATTTGCTGGGTGAAAGAAGAAATAGCAGATTTTTTTTTTTTTTTTTTTGAAGTTCAGATAGAAATGGGGGAATGTGACAGAGATTTTTTCCATTAGTGCATCCTCAAGGCAGGGAGGGGTGATGGAGGAGCAGGATGAGTCAAAGTGCCCCTGCAGCGGCATGCTTCCCCCAGGCAGTGTCCTTCAATAAGTATCCCTCACACAGACACAAAGCTGGGTGTAAATACCCGCACTTGACAGAAAGGCAATCAGTCAGTCAGAAAGTCAATGTCAGCCCCCACGCAAAGCTACAAAAGGCCGCTGAAAGCATGGACTCGGAGATGGGCATGTGTGCAAAATTTTAATTTCCTCAGGTCTTTCTAAAGAAATCTCTCAACCAAATATTGATCTGAGACCAGTTTACCAGTCCTCTGCCCTGCCCGGGTCACCATCGGCACACATGCCAGCAAAGATACTGGCGGACTCAAGTTCCACTCTCCTGTGGCGTATAAAAAGCCCCTCGGACATTGCTGCAGTGTCACAGGACGAGCGAATGACGTTGGCGGGTGACACGGGCATGCTGCTCTTTCAGCTGGGTGTCAGGTTGCAGTCTTTGGCCCACTTCTAACCTCTTGGAGAGTCACCTGTCCCGATGAGAGGAATGCTGCGACTGACGTTCCCCGTGACGGCAGCAGCAGTACTGCAAAGCGTGTTGGGTGTCAACACATTAAAGCTCAAAGGGTTTCTCCATGCTTGTAAACACACAAACCGTGTGTTTTTGTGTGTCCCCGCCATAGTTGTTTTGGCAAGAGGCACCTGCTGCTTGATGACCAAAGAGAATTTCAGGAATTGTGATCCCAAAACCTTCTCTAGACAACAACGCCTGTCCTTTGACTCTGATTTCTTTACCTGAGCTGTCTCTCAACTCCGTGATATATAAAAGAGGGGATTTGGCATTGGTTGAAAGTAATGTGACGGGTTTTTCAGCTATTCCTTGAGCACAGACAAACTCTTGGCCAGTCTCTGTTTTTAGGTTCTTCTATTTGCTTTCCTTTATGTGCTTCATAGGGGACACTGCTCAGATGTCAGAGATTCTCCCTCTTTCTTTTTCCTTCTCTTCTTTTTGTGGAGAGTCCAGCAAGCGCCCGCCATCAGCAGTAGCACAACTCCCATGACAAGTAGCACCACTGATACAACTTTAGTTTGTGGCAGGTCGTTGTAAGTGTAGGTCACCCCTGTTCCTGCAATCCCTATGACCAACGAGATGATGCCGAAGGGAAAGATGCAGCGGTACCACGACTTCTCCATGCCTCCAGTAGCTTGAGACAGACGCTCCAGGGAGGAGAGAACTTCGGGGACTTTAGCACCACCAGCCTCCAGAGACAAACTCTCCTGACCAGAGTTTACCTGGGGTTGTGGTTGGCAAGCAAATTGTCCGGTTGTGCAGCCCATCTTAACTGTGGGAGCAAGCCAATCCCAATTGAATCAGAAACGCTGATCCTAGGCACCAGCCTGGAGAAACAGGAGATAAAGGAAAAACAGAAAATCAGCAAAGAGAAGGTTTGTGCGAGACGGAGGAAATTACTTGAGCTGCAATCTCTGGAGCATGTCAAATAAAGGCTTCTATTGAGCACTGAAATCCACTCACGCGTTCCCTCCTCTCTTCTTTCCTCGCTGGCGGTAACGCTCTACACAGGCTGCTGGTTCTTCGACAGCACATTGTACACTCTGCACATAGTAGTGCCACAGAATATATTTAAACGACTGAGGGAATAGGAGGAGCAAAGACTGGAATAGGAAGTCCACGAGGTACGATTGGCTTATTTTGAGTGACATCAAACCCTGAAGAAGGGAGGACAATGGGGAAGCATAGGAAGGGGGAGGGGAGAAGACTTTACATCTCCCTCCTTTCCTCAGTTTCCCATCATTGCACCTCTATAACAGTCTTTTTCAGTTTTTTTTTTTTGTTTTTTTCTTCTTCAGAGAATACAACCCTCCCATTGGGAATTAAAATGCCTCCTGCTGAAAAACACTGGAAGTAGAGAGGGAAATTCTCATTTCCACTGAGAAGAACTAGTACTGCACATATGCACCACATTTAATCTCCAAGGGGGGAAGTGGAAAAATTGAGAAATTCCAACTTCAGCAACCATCTACACTTCATTACATGCTTGTAAACAACAAAAAAGATAAATAGCATCAAATCAGGCAAAATTCAATGCACGGCCATGGTCGTGATTAAAAACAGGCAGCCCCCTGTCATTTCCCACCCCCACACACAGTAAACGCCAGCTCTTTCAGTCAGCTCTTTCTGAATGAAAGGCAACCTGGTTGTAGTTAATCTCTCAGTATGCCCGAGTCGCTTTTCTGTGAAAACAACATCAGCCTAGACAGCTTCCTTTTCTGTGGCTGAAATGCACGGAAAGAGTAAATGCGGGGTACACATCTGGATTTCTGTCTTTATCTGGAGGCATTATGGGCTTGAAGATGGAGGCGAAGCATTTTTTTTTTTTTTTTTATGTCTCAGTGATTTATGGAAATAATTATGGATCAGGAAAACAAGTAAAGGTTTAGAGTTTATGTATGCAAAAAAGAACATAGGAGCCTATGAAAACATACCATGCCCTGGAAAAGTATTTATAAATCTTTGAACTTTGTCACAGTTTTTCGTTTGTTTGTTTGTTTGTAATGCTACAAATACAAGTTCAATGTATTTTTTAGGATTTAATTATAGACCACAAAGCAGTACATAATAGTTAAGTGGAATTACATTTGTACGTGGCTCTCAAATTGTTTTTTAAAGACTGAAAATTGTGGCATGTATTTATATTCACTGAACTCAATACCTTAAAAAATAACTTTTTGCAGCAGCTACAGCTGCAAGGCATTTTGGAAATCTCTCTCCCAGATTAATGTAGCAAAAAAAGAAAAAAAAGAAAAGAAAAAAAAAGCTTAAACTCAAGTCAGACTCGGTAAAGAGAAAGTGTGATCAACAGTTTTCAAGTCAACACATTTTCTCAATTAAAATAAGGTCCAGACTTTGACTAGGCCAATATGACACATGAATAGACCATGATCTCAGTCATTCCTGTGTATTTAGGGTTCCTTTTGGACGGTGAACCTCCAGCCTGACTTCAGGCTTTTTGCATCGTCTAATAGATTTATTCCATGGCTGCCATGTGTTTCATCAATCTTACTGAAGAAAAGCCTCCCCAAAGCATGACGCAGCCCCCCCAGTGGCCAAAAGGACAATTTTATATGCAAAATCAATCACACGTCTAAAGGAGATGACAACCTACTAATCTGTTGCAATATTTCATATATTAACACATAATATTTTGTCCTTTACAAAAACATTTCAATGTCCACTTATCACACACACCCATCCTATAAAACTCCTGAAATTCTTTAATGGCTTTTGGTGGACTTATTCTAATACAAAGATGGCCCTCATCTACCCACCCCTTTTGAAAACTTCCTGGAGGCACCAGCATCCCACAGCATAATGCTGCCACCATCATGTTTCATTCTTGCTATGGAGTGTTGGGGCTTATGTGTGGTATTTGGTCAAATCCTGGTCACCTGACTAGACCCATTTCTTTTATTTTATATAACTTGAGTTAAACTGCAAATATAACTCCTTATGCTTGTCTTACAAAGTATTTTTTCCACTATTGTAACAAACCTTTGATGATACTCTTACCTGTGATCAGAACTAAAGAAGCTTTTGAGACTTTCAAGAAGCAAGAGATGTCCGGTTGATGTCTATTTAAGCCATTAGGCGTCAATTGACTAATTTGAAATTTCTAAACGCATTTAATTAAACTGAATCATATTTTATGTCAACTCTATAGTTGCTTCGCACTTTCTTAAAACAAGTCAGAACTTTAAGGTGTATGGTTCCAGATTTACTAGACACAATCTGGAAAAGTCCAAGGGGCATGAATACTTTCCAAGGCCCAGTAAATGTGTATTGGAAAAAAATAACAGCCAGTTTAATTACATTTTTAACCCCATGGCTTCATTAACAGGACCTCAGCTTGGCAGCAAATCAACTCCCGATAATTAAAGGCATGCACAAAACAAATGAACAAATACTTTGTATTCCTCTGTAAATGACAAGCACGGTTATTTGTGGGGACAATTGTTGTTAGGTTACCAGAGTGAAAAAGCAGGATTAAGCTGGCTGATTGTTGAGGGGAACAAAACAAAACAGAGTTAACAAGCAGCTCACTGAGCAAAAGACGTATTCATGAGCCAAAGACAAATAAAAGAGAGAAAGTAAAGAACGTGTTTGTGAACAGCAGAGGCAGAAGGGGAAAAAAAATTTTAAAAGCAAGAGGCAATTGAAGGAGAGAAGTGGATTCTTTCTAGCCCGGTTTTGTTTCTCTGGATTCGTACTTGAACTCTTTCACTTCAAATAAAAAAGGAAGGGGGGAAAAAAGTGAAACATAGGAAGGAATTTATGAGCTAATTCATCCAAGTGTGGGAATATGACTGAGATCCAGAGGCAGTTTTCCAGTAAGTATCTTCCTCTGAAAGCAAAACTGTTTAGACCTCCCTATAATGAGACCAAAAAGGAGCGTGAGAAAAAAAAGAAAAAAAAAAAAAAAACTGTGAAAGATGGGTAACCTGGGCAGGGCTGGGCCACGCTGGCGGGGAGTGGAGGAGCTCTGCTGGTGACAGCAGAGCCGCTGATGTATACAGGTCGCAGGAAGGCTGAGCTGCGTAGGCGCTGCTCCCAGAGGGACCCGTGTGTGGCGTTGACGTGATCTCAGAGACGCTTCCCTGCATATCTCCTCTCTAATAGTGATCCGAGGGTTTATCGAGAGGCAGCTCTGTGCTATATTTGTCGAAGTTTTAACTAATAATGTCTTTTCTAACTCAGCATTAGTCAATTGAGTTATTGCATGGCCTTTTGCTTCAAAAGCAACAGGCTATCTGAGACTGAAATAGTAATCTTTCTTTAATCTTATTTCGGTTCCTGTCCTCGGGGAAACATGCCATTTCCAGCTTGCAGAGTGCAGAGAGCTGGGTCCATGAGCACATCGTCTCTGTGACTCAGCCTGGCTCCGGTTGTGCGTGTCCCTTATGTTTGTGTGTGCAGCAGAGCTCAGACACCCACGCCCTGCTGTGTGAACCCAGCGCCACCTGTCGCCGAGTCTGCCGTGGCCCCTGCAGTCCACTCGTCATCTGTGGGCTCGAGCATTTTTAGACCCAGCCCCTGCATCTCACGTACGCCCTCGCATCACAGTTGAGATGGGCAAGAAAACAGGGTGTTTTTTTTTTTTTTAAATCAAACATATAGAGATGGACCCATATGTGCTGAGTATGTGTATGTTTGCATGTAAACTCCACTGTGGAAATCAAAAGCATATGGTGAAACATGAAGCGTAAAGGCGGAGCTTCCTGCCTTACCTCTTGCACTGACTGAACTGAAACAAAAATGGAAGTGATGCAGGTCCAACTCACGACTCAAAAACTCCGCAAATACTAATATTTTAAATACATACTGTATCAAATAAACCCAGACCCAGGTTTATTTTGACACACTGCCCTGAGTAACATCTGTCACTTTGTGGTCATTCCTAATATTGAGTGTTACCTGCTGGCACAATGGGTAACTAAAATGCCCCAGCAAATGCCATCATGCACCTTCAACAACCATAGCCTTCCACTGTATCGGGATTTTATGAGATCGACGGAGTAGCACACCACTGTGAAGTGGAAGGAAGATGACGAATGGTTATCAGCATTTTTAACCAACAAAAATGCAAAAACATGTAGTTAATTTCTATTCTCCATCCCTTTACACTAATACCCCAAAATAAAATCCGGTGTCAGACCAACAATCTTCAAGTCTTGTCACAGATTCTGTGTATATTTTATAACATAATCATAGTAAAATTAATGTTGTTTTTTACTATGTTCTAAAAATTTTCCAAAGCTTTTTGCAAAACAGCTATATTTATTTAGACTAAGATTAGAATATACACCTATTTGCTAATTAGGTGACTGCTGGAGGCAATTTGTTGCAGTGAACTTTATTCATAGTCAGCAGGATAAAATACATTTAAATTTAGAAATGGAATGCGACAAAATGTGTTAAACAATTTATTAATAAGGCATGCATTTAGGGGAAAAAAATAGAATATAAAAAATAACATTAACTGTATATGTCCATATATTCATTCATAGATGGTGGTATTTAAAAAAAAAAAATTCAAAAACAACATTAATCAGTCACAGTCTCACAGGAGCTAAGGAGGAGCTCAGATGTATTACAGACAGATCGTCAATCAGAGCTCACACAAATATAGATTTTAATTTACTGGAGTATCTTTAATAGAGACTTCAGTATGATTTACCCCTGCTTTATTATGCTGCGGTTCAACTAATCTTTCAACTTGAAGTGACTATTGGGTTTTCAATGCACTCCCGTATGCTAATAGGTGCCTCATGTACCCATACCTGTTGCTAAGCTTTTTTCGTTTACTCTCAGTGTGACCACCTCAGCTGTCATTCATGCTCAGAGTCCTGGACAATGGCAGCAAAACGCTCCCCTCCCTCACCCAGCAGGGAGTACATGTCTCTGAGCATACTTGGACTGGGACATCCAGGTCCAGGTCTGATGGATGAGAACTGAGAGGACAGAGAGTCCAAGAGAGCCTGGCACACAGAACCAGAGTCAGCAAAAGCATGTTTGGACACTAATGAAGAAAGTAGAGTTCGCAATCTGATTTACCATTTTTCAGGTAGTCCTTACCTGTTCAAAGTAAGTCTCTTGCTGCAGCAGTGCCACTCTCATGCGCAGCTCCTCCAGCTGTTGTAGCTCCTGCTGTGTGCTGTAGGTTACGGTCAGGGGCAGAGGTGAAGCCGCTCCATCTGCAAACAGGCCGGCTGCCTCAGACGGGCAAAGACAGCCTCCCTTTGGCCTCCATCGATCCCATGCCTTCCACTCTGACGGAAAACCAGGTTATTTTTAGAGTGTCAGCAACCATACCCCAAGACGTTTTTCTGCTCTGTAGTCGCCGCTTTAAATAACTGGGACTTCGCCGAACCACGCTGAGGGAGGTGGCTTAAAAATCTTGCTGTCACGGAGGAAGGAGATCGTGGATGAGGCCAAGCAAAGTACTGATCTGACGCTGAGGTTTCACCGAGGCTCTGTTTTCATTTTCCACATGCTAAGACGGACACCCACATTAGCTCGATAGCACGCTATAGTCATCAAAAACATCCGGATCGTAAAATGAAACCAAATAAATCACTGTGAAACAATATGAAACAAAACACTGGATGGCCCCAGTCATCTGGATGGTCCCAGGTCCTAGAATTAACTGGAAACTTTTCTCTCACATTGGCTTTGCCAATATGCTCAAGTTACGTTTGAAATTTAACACAGACACATAAACAAATGTCCCTCACTGAAAGTGACCTGATCACTTTCAGGAGGTATGCGATTATTTAGATGGTAACTGTATCACTGGAGGTACTGGAAACTGTTCCTTACATGCACCGGATTTTATTTAGGCACCAACACCCATCCGGACCCACTAGGGACAAGGGTGTAAAGAAAATGGATGGATGGATGGACTTAGCTACTGCTGTCTTTTGAAGCTTTTTGTTATTTGTATGAAAAGCTTACAATGCTTCAACATCCACATCAACTGGGATTTATAAAGTTATATCAGGGCATTGTAATTTCAATATGTCTGAAGGAAAGTTACAAAAATGTAAAAAAAATAAAATAAAATAAAATAAAAAAGACTTCCATTGCCCTGGCATTTGGAAGAACAATTATTTTTTTATTTAACCTGTACCAAATTAAAATGAGTCTAAAAAGTCAAATTTAATTACAGGCAAACAAAAAAAGTTTTTTTTTTTTTAATATTTCATATAAATATCTGGTATTAACTGTACATGCAGTTTTTAGCTACAGTTTAGTGTTACTCATCATTTCTTTATCCATCACATAAATTCTCAATATGAACAATGATGTTTCTGGTTCCAGCATGAAAAAATGCAGAGAAAGTGACATAGTTGCAAAGCACAGTCTGGACTGACAGGGTGATAGCTATACAATTAAATTAAAACAGGCCCACAATATCTAAGAGAGACTGCAATTTAATCTTGCTTTTTGGTCATATAAAAGTTTTACCTCGCTTCACTTTATCTGCCAGAACGTGGAGCTCTGCAGCTGCCAGCTGCAGCCCTTCAGGTGTCAGGCTGGAATGGGACTTGGTCTGCTTACCACCTGTTGAGGGAGATAATTAAAAACTGGTGTTACTTGCCAAAAGTACTGCACAACAAGGTGGGATGGGGTAGCTCTGCAATTAGCACTCTGCTTGCAGGTTATTACCACCTGGTAATAGTCGAAATAATTACAGAAAAGTCCCAAATGTATTTTTGGCAAAGAAAATAAAAGAAAAAGAAAAACATGATCATATATCAATCAAAAATAGCTGATAAATAATCTGCCAACTTTTGCTTCCACATGTTCATGACTCCTTTCGCATGTCAACACTTCTATTGATTGTTGCGTTCTTAGTTTTGATTGTCTCCATGTACAACTCAGTTCACGGTTCTTACCAGGAAGTCCAGTGTCCATTTCTGGCACCTCACTGGCAAGAATATTCTCGGTCTGGCAAACGTGTGCAAGGTTGAATGCCTGGTCGGTTAGTCTGTGGAGCTGGAACCTGGTCTCATTTGGACTTCCACTTGGCCAATCACTAGGAAACTAAAAGGGTCAGAGCAATAGACAGCAACAAGGGACTGAATGGAGACTGTACAGTGCCTTGGAAAAGTATTGACAACCCCTGCAACTTTCCACATCAGGGCACTTAATAAGAAGAAACTTTACAGGATTTTAATGGGATTTTCTATGACAAGCCAATGTAAAATGATACAATGTTCTCTATTAATTTACTTTAACAAAACCAGATAAGTCTGTAGAATGGAAACAGATAAAATAGTGCTGGATAAGATGAAGACTTCGGTGATTTTTTTTTAGCAGAACATAACCCTAGACAGTTGAGTATTTGAAAGTTAATTAACCAATTTTGAAAAGAAATATACTGGAAATTAAATATATATATTTCAAAGCAGAAGATTACCGTTGTCCTTATTCTCTGCATGAAGCGACTCCTCCCAGGCTCTGGATTCCTCTGTAAGGCAATGACTTTGTCCCACAATCTAAAGTTAATATACAGGAGGAAATGTCAGAATCAAAATATTAAATCTGCACTTTGTAATAATCTTATATAACAAAAAAAAACAACACTATACTTAGCAACCTGTTTTGTTTGCTCCTTAAAGATTTCCATTTTGCAATTTCCTCAGAAAGCCCCCTGCCCAAAAGTAAAGTAGAAGAAAATACACATATCTCTTTAATTGCAAATAAAAGCATGATTATTTCCACAGCTCATTTGTGCTAAACCTACCCGTTGTGTTGATGCAAACTGCCGACCCCAGGTCCATCTGTCCCTGAAAAGGACATGTCATCTGAAGAAGGCATGGGGACAGATACAGATTTGCTCAGCCCATCGTCTCGGGGCATATTGCTTCTGACCGTCTTGTTTGTCGAGAGCGAGGCTGTGATTTGATCAGGAGATTTAAATCCTGCCAAGACAGTCTGCTGGTGATGCCCGGCCCGAGCAGCTGAGGAGGGATGGTGTTGGGTTCTGTTTTTGGACTGTGCTGGTTTGTGGCCCGCTGAAGGCCTTAAGCTATGTGAAACACTTGGCTTTTTGGGCCCTTTTCCGTGAAGGCTGGCAGATTTTTTACTTGACTTGATGGTTGGTTGATCATGTTTAGTCACTGCTGATAGAGCTGGCATGCGTTCTGTTGCTTTAGTTGTGGATAGTTTTCTTTTGCTGGAGTCTTGCTTAGAGACCTCTGAGCCAGTGCGGACCCGAAGAGCTTTTTCCAGTGCTTGCTCAAGCAGTTCTATGTCTTCTTTCTCCCCTGGCGAGGACTCTGCATCTGAGAGCAGCATGCCGTCACAATTTAGTGATTTCAGTAATTACTCCTTATGGATATCATAATATAAATGACGTGTTTTCAAAAGGAGAGGAAAGTGGATGCAAAATAAAATATTTCTGCTTTAAAATGCTCACAGCGATTTGTCATTCATTAGTCTGTAAATTAAATCTATGATTTCAGAAAAAAAATTTTTTAAATACAGTCAGATTCATCATGCCACGTTACCTGCAGCAGCATTGTCTGCTAATTCAGTTTCTTCAGAGCCTGCTTCTGGTTGTGGTATCCTGAGGGGGGAATAAACAAGTTACTAAGCAGTACATTTTTCCTTAAAGAAGAAGAAAGCAAAGTAAGGAATTAACAAGCAGAAACATCAAAAGCAATATATTAGTATATTGAAGGCTATACCATTTTCACAGTCCTTTACTAAGCTATTTACTCAGTGCTGCGTGTTTTTGAAGAAAGTACTAGCTTTTATAATGAGAGAGATATGTCAGAATATTATCAAAAATTATTCACTATTTGTCATCATATAATAAAGTAAAAGTCAGATTAAGTTAAGGACAAATAATTTTTTTTCTGCTGAATTCAAAATTACATTCATCAGATGAGCCTTTTCATTGTATGTTGCGGTTTTATGACACAAACAGAATAAAATTGGAAATTAATGTAGCATTCGCGAAAAGCTCATCTCTGGTCCCGTATTGAGGGAAATTGCAGCCTAAAGTAGTTTTGGTCTGACTAAACAGCTAACATGACAATTCTGAGTTTTATTATCTTTTGATACTGAGTATGCAGCAATAGCAGAAATAAAGAAATAGAACCTGAATCGTTTCACAGAGACAAAACTGCATCAAAAGGCACTGCTGGGATTCGAACCCAGGATCTCCTGTTTACTAGACAGGCGCTTTAACCAACTAAGCCACAGCGCCGGACACGCTACCGTCGGCAAATGCGAGACTTTAACCTTTGCTATGTCAAAATTGAATTTCTTTAAATTGCTAATGATATTGCAATGATATTGGCCACTAAGCATTGGAATATTTTGCTACTTACAGACTATGTAAAATTTCTCGGTGAAATTGAATGCTGTGGTTAAGCCTGACTTGTTCGGCCTTATAGGTCTTGATAGCCTCCTCTACCGCAGAAAGCAGCGACATGTTTCCTCGGAGATAAACTTCTCTCGTAACAAAGTTAAATATACCGCTTAGCGTTTGGTTCTCACGATAGGAAATAAATGAACGTACAACAACTACAAAGCATAATATGCATTCAAAACCGCAGGTTGATATCTTGATATATGAAATACTCTTGACCCGCGAAGTCTCACTTAACGGATGCGGAAGCCACGTTTCGACTGCAGTTGGTAATTACGTTTAACATCTACATGTTCGGTAAAAATAAACCAAGTTGGTTATTACGTTTAACATCTACATGTTCGGTAAAAATAAACCAAGTTGGTTATTACGTTTAACATCTACATGTTCGGTAAAAATAAACCAATCAATAGTAATTCTATAATATTTTTTAATGGAAAGTAGTAGGCTATGTATTTTGTTTTATGCAACAAACGACCAAGCATAAACTAAAACTTTCAAACTTATCAAGGTTCCCAATTCTCGCGAGAATTACCATGACAACGTAGGACGCTGTTTGCACACGCGATTAAAAAAAATATAAAACTTCAGTTTTATAATCACTGTGAATGCATTTAAAACGATGGCTTTGACGTGCATTTTACATGCTGGGTTTTAAATAATAAAAAAATATAAGCTACAGCTCTTTTACCATCTATTCATCTATCAATTCATTTATGATATTTTTCATGGTTGGCACCAGAAACATTAACATTTTAGATCAATTAAAATTCAGCACCTTAAAATATTCTCATTTCTACCGTTTGAGTATTTTCATTTTGGCACTCAAAGCGTGATGAGACTGTACCATTCATCTTTGTTTTTAAACTTTATATCACATTTTAGATTGGTATTGTTACCCAATGACTTCCAGCTGCCTTTGCTATCTTGTCACACTTTCATATGATCAAACAAATATAAACTCAAACAGACATAAATTAAAGAAAATACAAAAAACAGTTTCTAAATTATGATTTAATTTATGAAAGGGACTAAGCCAGGGGTGTCAAACTCAATTTCACTGAGGGCCACTTCAGCATATTGGCCACCCTCAACGGGCCACATTAAAAAGACGATACAAATCAGGAGTGCCCAGGTGCAGTCCTTCAGACTGCAACTTTTAGATGCATCCCTGCTAAAACACACCCCAGACAAAAGGTTGACTTCCCTCATTAGCAGCAACTCAGTTCTGTAGAGCCTTATAATGAGTAAATGATCCAGGTGTGTTAGAGAAGGAACGCATCTAAAGTTGCAGATGGTAGCTCTGGAAAACTTGGGCACCCCTAGCATAAAATGTATGAAAATACAATGTTAAAAATAAATTGAACACCTCATATTGTTAAATTTGGAGCTTCTGGTTAGGAAGCGCATTCGAAACCTTTGTTTGAAATGGCGCGTTAAATTCAAGTCTCCATTACAGACCAGAGAAAACTAAAGAGAATGCAACGTTGTGTTAAACCATTTGAGAAGCCGGCAGTTTATCTTGAGGAAATAAATGACGATGCAAAAGTTAATTAGATTGTAACATGCGCAGTGCGCTGCTCAACCACTGCGGAGGCAGTTACGTTACGCCACTGCGAAGAATTAAAAACCGCTGGGAGTAACTCATCCAGCGGATTTAACAAATGGAGCCTTCTGGGTTCACGTTACCCAGGAGAGCGGCGCTCTGGAGGAGCTGCAGACGTGACATCTGTCCGTTTCGGAGAAGCGAAAAAAATAAAAAATAAAATCCTTAAAGCGCACACCGGACCCCGCAGGGTAAAACACTCAGAGTCCAGTGGATCTGTTTGGATCAGACAGATCCAACTGACTGATGATTTTTCTGCAGATGGGAACCAGGAGGAAGTTGTTCAGACCCCAGCGGGTGAAGTGATGCTAATTTAAGTAAATTCGCTTAATTTAATTTATTAAAAGTTATTGGGGCCTCAGTCAGTGGTTTTTGTCACTACGAGAAAAATTTAGATACATTTATCTTCTTAATTTGTGATGGGATCTGGATTCACGGTGAATATTAACTAAACCCCAAAAAATGCGACTAAATAGCCGATGTTAATATGATTGTAATTTCACGGATAAAAATAGTACATGACCGATTTTTTTTTTATGTTGTCGGTCAAGATAACGGATAACAAAAAAAGTCTAGCGCCACCTGCCGCCCTGACACCAACTCACACACATCTTCATTCACAGTCTTACTTGTAAATCGATTTTTCTTTGCTTGAACGTTTTGATGTTAGCTTGTCGATGTCTCAGTTTTATTCGCTGGGAAAATCAATAAGCAGCTTGAGGTGACTCTGCTGCTCTCTAGTGGCGAGAAGCCGTAATGTTGGCTGGTAACAATCGGAATGCATTGTGGGAGATGTAGTTTGTAGTCAATTCGTGCTCAAAACCTATTTTAAGTCAATCATGGGCCTATAAAACGGTGTGTGTGTGTGTGGGGGGGGACATAAAATTACGTGGCGGGCCACATGTGGCCCGCGGGCCTTGAGTTTGACACATGTGGACTAAGCTATCCAAGCCAACCTTGCCCTACACAAAGAAATAGCCACATATGTTGCTAAATCCTGAATTAACTGTGATTAACCACATTCTTTGCAAAGCTGGGTTGGAATTCAGTGGTTACTACCACATGTGTAGAGTCAAGAAATGACTTACAGATGGCCTGACAACAAATAGTGAATTAAAATACCTGAAACGCAAAAGAAACTGTCAAAACACATTAGGAGATGAGATCAGTCAATCAATAAAGAACAATTTTCATACAATCAGGTCTTTGTCACACCAAGACCTTTACAGATTTTATTAATCAAAGCATACCACCCAGTCAACCTCTGAAATGCTATAAAAACAATGGTTTGATCAACAAAACTTATTTTCTGCAGTAGCCTCATGGAAAAAACCAATAGGGGCACCGCCAGATATTTGGGAAAAGGATGATTACTTTTTCGCATAGAGCCATTTTACTTTGGGTAGCTATTTTTTTACTCATTAAATGAAATCATAATTTCAAAACTGCTTTTTATATTTTCTCAACTTATCTTTTCTGTTTCTAAAAATGTATTTGATTTTCTGAATCATTTAAGTGTGACCAAAAAAAAAGTAAAAACAAGGGAAATCTGCAAGGGGCAAATCATTGTTCACAGCAACCTGCTGAGGTTTTCAAATTAGTAGGTGGCAGGAGTAATACTTATGGTGTATTACTGAAAATAAAGGACATGTGTCAACTATGAAGGATTAATCCAGGGACAACAGCAAAATACTAAGTGTGCACACTCCAGAAATGAAATACCAGCTAACCCCCTGCAGGCCTCCACAGGCTGGCCTTTTATTCACACCCTCACTCACGTCACCAATCAATACCAGTCATACAGCAGAGTTTGTGCTGCAAGGCCAGCGAAAGTGCAAGGGGGGTGGCGGGGCGGCATTACACCTTTCCCATCAAAATTTTCCTTCAAGAAAATCTCCCAACAAAGCTGAAGTGGTGCTGCTGATTTGACCTTCAGTGGAGCAAATTACACTGTTATATGGAGAGGAAGGAAGTGGGAGCAATAACAATGGAGCACTACAATCACAGATTAAAAATATCCATCTCTTACCACTGCCTTTTTGCTTTGTTCCTTCATCTTAATGATGCTGCTTGTTTCCTTGTTTCTCTGACAACCCTCTGGGACCTTCACAGAACAAACGTATAGGGATTTAGGTTTGAAGATGTGGGCTTTGTTTTTAATTTCAATAGCCTTTGAACAATATTTGTTGTGTTACATTGTATTTGGGGGTATCAGAGTACTGGGGGTACCATTTCCAGATCTATACTTGTGAAAATGTTGTGAACTATGTGTCACGTGTCTTTTCACTTTACTGACATACACCAGTTTGTGTTTCTCTATCATATAAGATTGAAGTAAAATACACATAACGTGAAAAAGTTCACAGGGTATACATTTTTCTGCAGGGCACTGTAATTTTGAAAATGCATCAGTGGCATAAATAATGGTCTTGAAGTATTTTTTGAGATAGCAACAGCTTGCAGGCCCTATTGGAGAGACGTGAATCATTCTGTTAGCTCACCCCATCCCCGCTGGCCTCCTGTGGTAGCAGAGGGAGGGGGAGGCATCCATGCTACCCCGGTAATAAAGCATCTGACACGCCAGCCGGCCACCAGACTGATCTCAGGCTCCGACAGTCACACAAGCACATATGCATGCATGTTCACACATGTGCCGCTACACAGACAGACACACACACAAGCACACACACAAGCACACACAAAAAAAAAAAACAGATAGGCAGGTTTTTTTTTAATGACAAGACAAGTCAGTTCAGCTTCCAACTGCCATGGAAGCTGATCAGTACACTCTCGAACAGGGTGTACTGATAAAAATAAGAAGAAAAACACTGTCTGAAAAATATCAATTTCCTAAAGTATTAATGATTCATCAGTAACACACACACACAAACACACACGCACACACACGCACACATGCACACACACACACACACACACACACACACACACACACACTTTTTTAAAATAGCATTTGTTATGCAAAAAAATTATAACAGTATGAAAAGCATTTTAAAAGGCTTCCAGCCTTTAATGACAACTGCCTCTGTGCAATTCAATTAAAAAAGAGAAAGAAAACAACACATTTATGAGGAATTAAAAATAACTGGCCATAAGTTTCCTCACCTAGCTAATAATTTATTATAAATCGTTATTAAAATACCTTTTACTCTATCAAAGTCCCACATCTGTACTTGAGAATAGTTTTCTTTACAAATGCTTCTCACCTGACAGAGTTAAAAATGTTTGAAAGGAGCTCAAAATAGGCAGTACTGCACAGACTAAAATCTCAATATCTAAGAATGATAAGGATGATTTTGTGCAAAAAAAAAAAAAACCTGTAATGAACATGTTTTGCGTAGCCCTAACCTGTTCAAGGAAATGTAATAGGTCACCTTTATTCAGCATTTGTTGCAAGTCAGCCATCATAGATAGGTGTTGGTCACTCTAGCTCTAGCATGAATAGCACAACTGATTCTACAAAAGCTCAGTGGAGTTTTAGTCAGCATCCTAAGCATCCATCTTCTCCACAATTCGGGAGATGCTTTTCAATAAACCTCATTTGTACCACCAAAGTACTACAAAGAAAGAAAAAAAAAACAAGCGTTTTGGAACAGAGTAATAGAACAAAGACAATATCAGCTGCAGGCAATACTCTTACTGTTGTTGATTGGACATTATTATAAAAAGCAAAAAAAGAAAAAAAGAGAAAAAAACAGACAATAAATACATGAATAAAAGCACATCTGTGTTTTACTAATGTCACAAAGAGTCATGGAGACATCTGCGATGTGTCATTTTCAGAAACAGTGGAAAATAGAAGATACGCTTGTTTTCTAATCCGAAACTACAAATTCTTGTACTAAAACTACAATTTTGCGTCAGCATTTCCGGTAGAGACACGCATGTCTGTTTTCGCCGGGTAGCGACTGAAGGTTTTAACTGTTGTTTCGGTGGAGCTCCGCATCCTGCGTTTGAGTTTTAAGTCTTTATTACTGAGCTGGAGGGAAGGTTTGTTCCGCTTGACTATTTATAAAACCAGTACCTAAAGATGATTCGTTGCTATCTAGTGGCACGTTTTAGCGTTTTTTTTTTATTATTAAATCTTAACGAGTTTGTTAGCTAGCTTTTAGCTTACTTAGCTCCTTGTAAAGTTAGCTGTTGTCAACGCGTCGAATTCTTGGTTTTGTGTAGTGTGGCAGGATTTGTTTTTATTGAAAAAAATAAACTGAAATGCGCGGTAGTTTGTTCGTTTGCCAAAACATATTTAGCGTTCCAACGCTGTCACGGAGATAAATGGTGAACTCCAGAAAGCAGGCCTGTTCTGTGTTTTGCAGCTTTTTTGTTCAGTCGATCTATGCTATACAAGCGTGGACGTTGTTTAAAGGTGCCTTTGTGAAACTACAAGACTAATTGTGTTTACTGTCACTCAACTTGGTGCCTTCCTGTCAGGGTTAAGTAAGGTCAGCGGCTTTAAGCAGACCAATCAGCTGTTTAAACGTGTGCTTGTTTTGACCGTCTTACCCAGACCACTAGAGAAAGTGATAATATTAACTCTTATTGTTTTTTTTATTGATTGATTTGGCTTTAAACTGGAGCTGCTGTTGTACTTGATTGTCCACCTTCCAGATTTGTTGTCAAGTCATCAAACAAATCTTGATCTTCCTGTTGCATGCAACCTAAGAATGCTCATCTAAACATTTATCATTTTGCCACATGGCGGTGGGAGCATCATACTGTGAGGGATGTTTTCCTTAAGGTGGAACAATGTAGGTGGGAATCCTCCAAAATGTACATTGAAGTTTACGATTGTAAGGTGACAAAAGGCAAAAAGGTCCAAGGGATAGCCGTGTTCAAGGGACTGTACTTAAATTCTGATGAACCTTAAATAATGGTTCCAAATTGGCATTTTTATATGACTTAGTAAAAACTGTACCCCCTTGTGCTGTTTTCAGACTGAACTCCAGAAGAAAATAACACAAAAAATGTCGGAGAATATGGAGACGGGAGCAAGTGTGTCCAATGGATCTGGGGCTGTTGGGGCAGGGTATGAGAAAGAAGAAGGCAACCTCAGGTAAACCTTTTTTGCAGTACTTTGGTTTATTTTTTAAATATCTGATTAAGATTACAAACTGTTGCGGGTTTGGAGAACATCTAGAAAACAAGCAAGCTTCGTACTTTATTTTTCTTTTGCTTGGCACTTTAATTGCAGCCCCGAGGATCTGTCTGAGATGCTGGCTGCTGGAACCAAGGAGGTTCACGAAAAAGCAGAGAACACGCAGTTCGTGAAAGATTTCCTAAGGGGACGAATCCGCAAAGAGCTTTTCAAGGTGAGGCTGAATAAACAAAGAATGAAGAAAGTGGGATGATTTTAACGGTATAAAGGCTTTTTCTTTTTTGAAACTCACAGACGGGCAAAGTCAAGTTTTTTGCTTTACTTTTTGTTCATTGTGGGTAGGATGTATTTGTCCACTGAGGTTTCTTTAGTAATTCTCTAAATTGAGAAAGCTCTTGCTGTTACCCCCTGCAGGTAAACCTCTTATCTTCTCAGAAGTTGCTCAGAAGCCCTGATTGAAAATCCCTTATTGGAGTTGAATTAGACCTGGAAACAAAATGTCGTGACTCCATATACTTAACAAAAGATTATGTAAATGAAAATAAAGCTGGAAGGAAAGTAGAAAACATTTGTATTTTTCCCCCCCCCCATTCAGCTTGGCGCTGTTGCACTTTACCACACATACACGGCCATGGAGGAGGAGATCGAGAGGAATAAGGACCACCCCCAATTTGCCCCCCTGTATTTCCCCGCAGAGCTGCACCGCCATGAAGCCCTGGCCCGCGACCTGGAGTATTTCTACGGTCCGGATTGGAAGAGCAAGATCAGCTGCTCTCAGGCCACCCAGCAGTACGTGGACCGCATCCACCAGGTGGGGCAAGAAGACCCGGTGCTGCTGGTGGCCCACGCCTACACTCGCTACATGGGCGACCTGTCAGGGGGGCAGGTGCTGAGAAAGGTGGCACAGAGAGCTTTGAAGCTGCCACCCACAGGGGAAGGCCTGGAGTTCTACCAGTTTGATGCGATCCACAGCGCCAAGGCGTTCAAACAGCTGTACCGAAGCCGCATGAATGAGCTGGACCTGGACGTGGCGACAAAGAAGAAACTGGTGGAGGAAGCTGTTAAAGCTTTTCATTTCAACATGGAGGTGAGAGTCTGAGGCAGCTGATGAATCGAGGCACTTTTACTGGTCGGAAACCCCCCTCCCCGATTTAAATAGAGGTATTATAGAAGTGGGTAATCATTAGTGCTATTCTAATGGAATTCTGTTTAAAATGCACTTTGTTGAACCATTTGTATTGATTTAAACTGTAGTCACAACCAGCAAGTTTATTGTACTGTATTCTATTGGGAATTTATGCGACTACCATCAAAATCGTCACTGGCAGTGGGAAAAAGATGCCTCATTTTCATATTTCTTTACAAAAACAAACCAATAAATATGCATCCATGCTCCTGTACTCTTTTATCCTTTAATGAAATCCATTAGTACTGATTGCTTTCAGAAGTCCACTTGTGTGCAATTCAAACCCAGCTTTAATACAGCTGTACTGTTGAGGCCCCAGAAGTTAATTTTAGATCTAATTAATGAACAAGCGGCATCATGAAGACGTATAACCTGTCGCAGCTGGCAGGTATTGGAGAAAGTGGTGTAGAAGATTAAATGTGTGTTGATTCTTAACACAATTTCTACAGTGAAAATCGATGTTGGAGGGCAACTTTATACAAAACCTGTTACAGAATGCAAAAGACTTAAAACTGGAAGTTTAGATCAAAGCATATTTACTTTGACCTACAATATTTAATATTTTGCATATATGGGCAAACAATTCTTACCCGAGAGACAAACAACAAAAGACTTGCAGCTGTAGTTCTGGCCAAAGGCGGATCTGCAAAGGATTGACTTGAGGACGCAGATTGTGATTTGTAAAACGTTTTGAAAACCACACATCATTACCTTCTACATCATCATGTTTCTCGGAGTGTTTTCTGCACAGTGATCTTCGCTTGAATCAGAAACATCGAGTACAAACAATTAATTGAGTTGGAAAGTGGATCTGGGAACTAAATCAAATCCAACTCGACCATGTTCTGGTTGTGAATCAGAAATCACTCTGGTATACTAATTGAGGTGCTCAGTAACAAGCTGTCCATTAGCAGTAAAGGTAAACACAATGTGTTCCTTTACAGATTAATGTATTCGTACAATAAATAATCATGTTCTCTGGCAGATGTACAGCACTGTGCGTGTGAAAGATTTAATGCGATATAAACCACCAGAAGCATCAAATAAACATTAGTACTACATTAACCTGTCTGTCACTAGAGGACCCAAATTCCTCTAGTGGAATTTGGGTCCTCTAGTGACAGACAG